AAACGAACGCTTTCCATCGATCCTCGGCGTGTCTTTGCCTCGCCGAGACTCACAGATTCGCTGTTGGCACTACAACACCTCGTTGATTACAATCACAACACCCAAGTGAGCGCCATAATCACTGCCAGAATTGATTCGCACGCACACGTACAATACACACACAGGACAGGAAGTAGCATCAAACTCAGTTAAATCATAACAGCTATGCTCTCAACATGCAAAATCAGGAAGAGAAACTTTAAAATATGCATCACTAGAAGCTACACTTTTTTTTTTACCATTTTTGAGAAGGTGGAGTAGAGCGACGCATTCACTTAAAAGTGAGTGAAAAAATGCAAATGCAGTCTACTTTGTCACTCGTCATTTAGAGGAAACCTTTTAACTGAGTGATCCATTATATTTCAGCTTTGATGAGGAGGAAACAGACGCATTTTTGTTGGCCCCATAGAGCTGGATTCTACTCTGGAAGTGTTGTAGTAGTAGGGTTGTAGTTTAGCTGGGCTACACACTCACGCACAGACACACACACGCACACAGTGCATGTTAAAACCACATGCAGCGTCTTGGCAGCAAAGACACTAAGCAGCAGCCAATCAATAAAACCTTGTTACGCTAATTGCAAGATCATAATCTCCGTTCCTACTTCTGCTGAATATCCAAACAGTCACTCCATTAGTCGAATTATTCCCCTGTGCAGTTTTTCCATCTCTACCCTTCCCCCTCTCCGTTTCCTCCTCCTGTTCCCTTTTTTTTTTTCCCTGTGACACATTTCTCTCAAACAGCAGTTCTGCTAAATTAATTCATAAGTCAGGGAGAACGACATCAAAAGAGAGCATTGTCAAGGTAAAGTGCTGATGAAGTATACCGATTCCTCTACTTTGCTGTGGAGGGATGAGACGACATCGCCACAGTGTGTTGCCTTTGATCATGTCACTGTGTACTATTCTCTTTAAAACGGCAAAAAAATAAAAAAATCCAACTTTAGGTGAAGGTCTACGGGAAAATATGTTCTATTTTCTGTTGTGGCCGTTTCATCAGATCAGATGGTTTCTCTTGTCCAAGATGTTGCCACGGCACGTTAGTGGCCAAAGGGGCAAACAAAAAGAATGTTGATGCCAAAATCAGGGTCCACGGTCATGTCGTTGAATCACTAACACTTTGTCACTTTAATAAGGGGAGGGTGGGGGAGATGGAAAGACAATACAAAGAACTACAGAGTCAAAAAAAACAATGCTCATGGGAACATCAATATGACAATGGCACTGACCCCGTTTCTCTGTTACTCATCACTACAACATTCCCATCGAAGCACTTTTTCATGTGGTTACTTGGGCAGATTCATGCAAAAGGGCCAAGCTTATGACCTGAATACATGTACATAAAGTGTACTTTTACAGGTGAACACGATTAAATAGAGCAATTACATGTCGAAACCGAAGCGAAAGACAGCCGAGCACTTTCACAAAGACTTGAAGCAGAACCGATGACCCAAATGCATTTCAATTCAACAGCAATAAAAAAAGAGAGAGAACTACAGATATACTGAGAGAATGAGTCAAAATGGGGGAGTCAGAGAGCGATGGTTATAAAAAAAGGGTAGATAAATAAAGTGAGATAATAAAGCAGAAAAAAAGTTAGCTTAAGGCAGTATGATATTGTTCAAAGAATATATTGAGAATAATGTGGCAACCGTTCATGCTGCATGGCACATTTCTAACGGAGAAAAAAAAACGTCATAAACAAAAATTATCCCTGTGGGTATTGTATCTCCTTGTTACTTAGCCTAAAAGTCCATTTTTGCTCAAAAACTTGCCAAAAATATATACGTGTAAACAAATTTATACTTTTTAATGGGTTTTAAACATAATTTAGGGAAAACTCTCAAACAAATGAAACAACTTTACTTGCATACACGAGCTATACGCTGTCAAAAAGTTGACTTAATACATTTACAGAAACACGAAAGGATCTTTGTCCCATCTGAAAGCTAGATAGAAAATGAATCATGTCTCAAACATTCTTCCGAACTGCATTTCAAAAGGAGGAGCACACATGCAGCTGTCATATATTTAGGGAAATCAAATTGAAGTGTCTTAATAAAGTTTAGTAGATACGGTAAATGAAGTATTGTACTAAACGGGTCTGTCCCTATGCAGTTATTAGAACTGACCGCAACTGTGTTTGCATAACCTTTTTTAAAACTCTTTGTAAAAGCAGATGGGCAAAACTAGCATACCGTTTTCCCATCATTCCTTTGTACATTTCTCATAGTTTTCCATCAACTATTGAGGTTTTAATATTTGGCAACTCCAATTCAATGAGCAACTATTGACATGAAGGGCGAAAATATCATGCAAGTCATAAAACCACAGTAATACTGAGCCATGTTTAAATTTCAAGCAAAACAAAACATGTAGTTTGTTTGTTTGATACTCTCATTATGCCGTTAATCTCTTTTGAGGATGCATCTTTTTTTGTTATGAACACTTAAAATTTCTTTGAGTGCATCTTGTAAATCTACAACAAAGAGGGAGATCTGTGGTTTTTATATGTTCCTGTTTTGTTGTCAGAGTGTGTGAGTCCACCCCAAAGGCCTCCCCGATTCGAGCTGTCAGATGAAAGGAAAGGATGAGTCTGGTGAAGCAGAGAATAGAGCAAGGCACATGTCAAATATGAGAGAATCCCGAGTAAACAAAGTATAACACAGCGCAAAGCCAAATCGTTTCTCATCTCGTCAAAATCGTTTATGCATTTTTCCCCCTCCTTTTTCTCTTTCTTGCTTCCCTGAACTCCGCCTTGATTCTCCTGATCAATTGTTGTCGACACACTTTGCTAAATTTAGGCTCTACTTCTCTGTAGTTTGGTAATAAAGCATCAACATTCCTGTAAAGCAACATGTGCTGAAGTAAAACTATTGCAATTAAGATTTCATACAGTTCAGTATCTGCAAGAAACTGTGACTCTTTCATTGTAAAATGCATGTATATAAACTTTAGTAGGGCTGCAACTAAGGATTATTTTAATAATAATAATAATGTGGAATGGCACAGGYAAAAAGTATTGAACACACTTACTGAAATTTATCTAATACTTTGTACAAAAGCCTTTGTTGGCAATGACAGCTTCAAGATGCCTCCTGTATGGAGAAACTAGTGGCATGCATTGCTCAGGTGTGATTTTGCCCCATTCTTCCACACAAACACTTCAAATCTTGAAGGTTTCGTGGACCTCTTCTATGAACTCTGATCTTTAGTTCTTTCCATAGATTTTCWGTTGGATTCAGGTCAGGTGATTGGCTGGGCCATTCCAGCAGCTTTAGTTTCTTTCTCTGAAACCAACTGAGAGTTTCCTTGYCTTTGTGTTTGGGCTCATTGTCTTGCTGAAATGTCCAGCCATGTTTCATCTTCATCATCCTGGTAGATGGAAGCAGATTTTTATCAAGAATGTCTCTGTACTAGGGCTGCCACAAATGATTATTTTAATAATCGATTAATCACAGATTATTTTTTTCAATTAGTCGACTAATCAGGTCATACGTTAATTGAATATAAAACATACAGCTTATCGCGCCAGAATGCAGCTGCTATTACCATCATTAGATTTTAGCTATATGCTAACTAAAAATAATTGCTATGGAAGGCAAGTTCTGCTCTGCAGATATTGCACAGGTTTCTCTTTCATTTTCTTAAAATGATCCCACACTTTTGAGCTCCGTTGGAGAGCAGCCATGATACCAGAGCCTGTCTGTATAATGTCTTGTGACGTCCACGGCCTACCCCAGTTACCACTACTGTGCATGTGTGTCAAGGACAGAAAGGCAAATGTGGCAGTGGAAGGTGTCAAAGCAGTTTGGAGAGAAAAACAAGGTAAAGAACAAAAAAAACGATTAATCGATTATTAAATTAGTCATCGATTATTTTAATAATCGATTAGTTGTCGATTAATCGATTAATCAATTAATCGTTGCAGCCCTAAACTTTACACTAGTGAAACAAGGCAAACATACTGTAGCAGCTCATTCTGGGCTACTAACTCATGTTTTCACAACCCAAAATGTTTTTAATAGCAAAAATTTCAACAAAAACACATATCTACCTCAGTCTCCAAGTTGTGTTTTAATAATTGCAATTGACAGGGACAAATTCCCTGCTTCCCTGCGTATGTCAGATGGGCTTATTCCCAAAACTCCACAAATCCTCCTTTCCAAACACAACCATATGGTCTCCCAGTTGTTTACGACCAGCTGTGCCACAGGATTTCTGGCAGGACTGCAGTGCACTCCCCCCTCTATTCTAGTTTTCAAAATCCTTTGCAACAAGGCCAAAAGAGTTTCCAAGTGGGCTTGTACCAAAGTGAAAACGTTCTGAGGATAATTGTTTCGGAGGAATAAAGGGAGTTTGAGATTTGATTGAAAAATGTTTCTTTATTATTTTTCTTTTCGAATGGGGAAGTTGGCTTAGCGGTTAACTTGAAGAAAAAATAAGTTTCCAGAACATTCTATGTGGCATTAGGGTATTTTTGCTGACAGAGTGTCACCCACTCCCCTCCCCCCAGCAACAGGTATTCAGCAAAAGTGCAGCTGTGGTTGTTAAAATAAGCAAGCATGGAAGAAAAATGAAACCGCAAAAAAACAATTATATATTATTCTGAATGCTTGAGAGTTTAATTTCTTGAATAGATAAAATGTACCCAACAGTTTAAAGTTTGACTTATAAAAACATGCAGCTTTTAAAACTAGCTTTGTCCTTCCAAATGTGACAACAAAGCTTGGGAAAGTTTTAGCTGAAGGGTATTCTACATGGGTTTCATACTCAATATGTTAGAGTCATGTTGCAAGTTTTGTCTTGCCTTTTTTTGTTTAACACTTAAAAAAACATGTCTTTCCCTTAATATCACATGAGTTATTTATGCACTTTAGCTTGCTGTTGGTTACATTGGTTGATTATAGAAATTCAGGCAACAGTTAAGGTGTGGATGACGTGAAAAGCAGTTGAACTAACCTGGTTTGGTGGGAGGAACTCGTGGTTGTTTTCATTCATGTACATGTTGTCACCGTCAAACTGAAAAAGGCAGAGAAAAGAGAAAAAGAAGGCTGAAAACAGAGAACATAAATTTCACTCAGTTTTCTTTTTCTTTTTGCAGAAGCTGAAACAGTGTAACGCAGCAGCCTAATGACTGCAAGTCCTCGGCTTATAGACCCTGATGCTCTGGTGGATGTCAGTAATTACAGTTCATTAGAGACATGTATAATTAGGCCCTGTCGACGCTTGTGTAACTCACACTCGTCAGCTCTCAGCTTGACTGTGTGCGCGTGCGTGCGTGCGTGTGTGTGTGTGTGTGTGTGTGTGTGTGTTCATACACCTAACTGCTGTGATTCCCAGGGTGTCACAAGGCGACAAAGGCGCAACAGAGTGATAATCACAACACTGAGAGCTCAGAATTCGCTTCAGAGGGATGTCTGGTCCGACAGCCAGTCAGAAAGTCTGTCAGTCACTCATTAGAAAGCTTCTCCACACCCACTGATGGAATTTTTATAGTGTGCACATTTCTTTTATTTAGCACCATCCCTGGGAAAGTTGGACAGTCAACTGGACTGGACAACTTCTAACATCCCACGTTTCTAGACAGTTTTAGGAACAGGTTTTAAAATAATCAAATGGTTCATATAATGGTTCCATAACCATTGTTGTGTCGCCATTAGTAGTAGTTTGTGTTATTCAGCAAAAGTAAAAATACTTGCATGATACAATAAAATGGCAATGACATCATTTCTAATATTACATTTTCTTGCCTGTTAGCATGCCATTTAGCACAAACACACCGGCAACAGTTATGTCAAGCAACTACATGGCATTTGACAGGAAGGTCAGTGAGCATGTTGACCCAGATACTGATCTGCGGTGCCATGCAGCTTAGCAGAACAACAGAAATTTCCGGGGACCTACTTTCCATCTAAGACAAATAGTCACAACCATTCTCTTATTTTCATTTATTGATTTATTGAAGCTGTAGCGGAGATGGTAGTTTTCCGAAATGCTTCATTATTTGACATTGTTAAAACAAGTCTCACAAATAATATCACTAAAAATCAAGTTTGGTATAAATATTGCATTTTTTTTAATCTCACCCAGCAGTGAGCCGATACATTTAGAAAATCATTACCAACCACGTGTAACCAGCTAAGCAGCTAACCAGCCGGTGATGTACCCTGCAGACACAGAGAGGTGAGCTAAACCTTCAGCGCCAAAAAAAAAAAAAAATGAACAGAGTCGCCCTGCAGTTTCAGACATTAGAAACGCCGAGCATAGGAAGCCCAAAGCACAGGCAAAAAGCTGGGAGAAAGGTGACAGCCTGAGGTTAAGCTACGAGGATATAAAAAAAGACAACAGGGTATTCATAATGGTGAACGAGGCGGCAATTCTGTGTAAGTGGGAGGTCAAGTAGGGAAGATAGCAAAGTTATGGGGCCGTGGTGGGGGGGACAGAAAACATGAATGAGGGAGAAAAAAAAGGAGAAGGAGAGGGAAACGGCTGTAGCAGCAGTAGTGGTGATAGAGCCTGTGGTTGTTCTGGCTGTAGAGTGATTAACACTGGGGTCACAGCCAGAGACCACAGCTTGAAAGACACAGGCGTTTAAACACACACAAACACACACGCGCGCACTCACCCACACAACTCCCAAGACCTTTCCCGCCTCTCAGTCTGATACAGTTTGGTTCCAACCATTTATGAGAAACTAAAACACACCTCAAGACAGCTTGTAGTGGCTGAGATGAATGGTGCTACTGTAGGGTAAAATAACAGGATGGATATGTGCCTCCAGCAGGTTACTGAAAGTGTTTTTCAAGCTGTGTTCAGGGACTGAAACTGAACCACCATCTTTTTATTATGATTGTCTTCCACTGCAGGCTATAGTCCTTGTGTTATAGTTACAAAGTGTTTATGTCTACAGAATGAATACATTTTATTATTTAGTAAGTACAATACAAAGGATGTATGGATTCTTTCAAAATTGACTTTGTTGTTTAGAAAGTCGTCTTGAGCTTCTTGGCAAATTCTAAGCAGACGACAAGAAAAAAGCACATTTACCCTAAAAATATTTAGTTTGCAAGCCCAATAAAGTCTTTCAACCTCTGATTGAACTGCAACGTCTATTGCCAATATTTCTACTCGATGACACTATCAGTTTGTAGCAGAAACAATCACTGTAACCTGCAACGAAAATGACATCATTTGTTTATTGCTCTTGGAAAGTGATTTTTAATGATACGCTAATAACACATTTGGTGGCACCTTAGATTACTGTCACACCAGCAAGTGAGATCTCGATCAGCAAAAAAAAAAAAGGTAAAAGAAATGGTAAGTAGAAAACAATTACACCGAATGTCAAGGAAGAAACCCGTCTGCAGCACTTGCGCAGCACAATGGGAGGGAGTCACTGAGGACACGCGGCTAGAATAGCAAACAATTTCCAAATTGAGAGGAAAGGTAAAAATAATTACTTGCTGACTCTTTGTGGTTTGCCATGGTTCAGTTAGACCAAGTTGTATTGAAAATTGCAACCAGAATACAAGAGAATAACTGAGTTTGCAAATTTCAGCCTAACTAAGAAAATATCTGCTTAATTGTATGTTTGTACTAGATCTGATCCAACAGTCCTACTACAATTAGATGATTAGATTTTTAAAAACAACTACTGTGCTCATTACATTACCTAAAATTGGATTCAAAGATCACAGCATTCATACATTATTACAACTTTTATGTACTTTAAATAAAAATAATAATAGAATCATATAATGTTTGGATTTTAATAGGGAAAAAACATTTATAACACACTGTTATTTCTTAATATGCCCAATATAAAATAATGACTGCTTGCAACCTGCACCTGAAAAAATAAACTACATATACGCTTTCAAAAATAGTCTTGGTAAGGACATAACTAACAAGAACAGGAGGTGCTTTTAAGCTAAACGAGAAAATTTGATATTTGTTACTGAACTTTACCTGGCCATGCACAGCACTGCAGTTAACCTCCCAGACATTAAATTTATATTAATACATGCATGACCTTTACTGATGATCACCAATCATTGAATTATGAGATTATAAACCAGCATCCATGGCTTATTTTCTATATTTAAAAACAAAACAAAAAAAAGCTATGAAAGAAAGGCAAAAACATTGTATGATCTGAAACAGAAGTACAGAAATGAAAAT